CAATCCCTGAGATTTTCAGCTCATTTGTACTTATAGTTGCAGAAATAAAATCGCGTTAAGCAATTTGGGGTGGATTTATCAATTTTCCAATTTTCTGAGTGACTTTTTTGAAATTTCGTCATTTTAGTACTAAGGTAGTACTTTAAAAAATCATAACTTTTTTCCTATTAGAGATAGAAAGCTGAAATTTCCAGCGATTCTTATCCTAGTGGAGGACTACAATCTCTGAAAATTTTAGCTCATTTGGACTTATACAGTCTTTTATAACCTATCAAGTTTGAGGGCTCCGTCGAGTTAGCCCCGCCTATCAATTTTAAAAAAAAATGTGTGTGCTAATTAACTGTGCTCCCAGTGTGCTTTATTGTGCTGCTAATATTAGGAACTGTGCTGAGTTGCACTTAATGCTATTTTCAAAAATTTGAGGGGGGGCTAACTTGACGCTTAGCCCCCCCCCGTTTTTTCGATTATTCTATCGCGCAAAAGCAAAAATTAATACAACTTTCAGTGTGCTGAACTGTGCTGCTAATACTTTTCAGTTTTTCGTTTAACCCTCGTTTCTCTCAAAAAACCCTATGGCGGGGCCAACTTGACGCTTATGGCTATAAGGGGGGGCTCCCCTGTTTCTTCGATAATCAGATAAAAGCAAATGAAAATACAAAGCATATTCCAAAAATCCTTACTATTCGTTTGGCAGATATTTCATAAAATATTTATTTTCATGACCAACAATATGTCATGGATGGAATAATTTCGTACGTGGGATCAGGGGGGCTGAGCGGAAAGTTCGGCCCGCTATAGCATTTTTTGCGAAAAACAAGGGTTAACCGAAAAACTAAGTTAAAAACATAAACAGCACAGTTCAGCACACTAAAAGGTGCATTCATTTCTACTCTCGTCTGATAAAATAATCCAAAAAATGAGGGGGCTGAGCGTCAACTTGGCCCTGCCATATCATTTTTTAAGAAAAATGAGGGTCAAACATAAAACTGAGTTGAAAATATGAACAGCACAGTTCAGGAAACTGAAAGTTGCATTGATTTTTGCTCTTGTTCAATAAAATATTCGAAAAAACGGGGGGGCTGAGTGTCAAGTTGGCCCCGCCATAGGGTTTTTTGAAAGAAACGAGGGTTTAACGAAAAACTGAACCAAAAATATTAGCAGCACAGTTTAGCACACTGAAAGTTGCATTGATTTTTGCTTTTGTTCAATAAAATAATCAAAAAGACGGGGGGGGGCTGAGCGTCATGTTGGCCCCGCCATAGCATTTTTTGAGAAAACGAGGGTTAGAACGAAAATCTAAAGTGAAAATATTAACAGCACAGTTCAACATCTGGAAGTTGCATTGATTTTTGCTTTTGCTCGATAAAATAATCGAAAAAACGGTGGGGGGGCTAACCGTCAAGTTGGCCCCCTTTCAAATTTTTGTGAATAGCATTGAGTGCAACTCAGCACAGTTCCTAATATTAGTAGCACAGTAGAGCACACTGGGTTAATTAGCACGAAAAAAAAATAGAAAAATTTAATAGGCGGGGCTAACTTGACGGAACTAAGTTTGAGATTTATTTTTAAAAAATAATAAATAAACGCATAAACTACAAAATGTGGAAATTTTGTTTGTGAAAAATCATGCCGTGGAGGTGCTGCCCTCCCATGCGGATCGTCTCCTCCAAACAACCTCTTAAGTCGATAAACACGCGGTTGCAGAGTTCTTGTGGAATTGTTCGAATTAGGCCGCGAATTCTCTGCTTCAACTGATCCAAATTTGCAGGAATTTGACTTTTAATTTAAGGAAACCCCACAAAAAAAATCCATGCGAGTTAAATCGGGACTTCTGGCGGGGCAATTGACGTTACCATTTTTCGATATAAGCCTTCAAAGAAGAAGGGACCAATAATTCCATATGCGGACATTGCTGCTCACACTGTAACTTTAGGACTATGCAGGGGCTGCTGATATTTTTCACATGGGTTGTTATCTTCCCATTATCGACAATTCTGTTTATTTACAGGTTCAAATGGAAATGAGCCTCGTCACTGAATAAATTGTTATCGAAATTGTTGAAATTCTGAACATGTTCTGGGCAAATTCGACACGAATTGGAAAACCCCCCACTTTTAATGTTTGGACAATTTAAATTTTGTAAGGATGAAGCTTAAGGGCCTTGTTTAAGATCGTGTGGACTGTCGATTTTGATCAATTTAATGTGGCTGCTTGTTTTCTTATCAAAATAATCTGCAATATCATTAATAAATATTATGAACAGCAAGGGGCCTAAGTGGGATCCCTGAGGAACCCCAGAGGGATTAGGAATATTTTAAGAAGTGTAATTATTCACCTTGACTACTTGGTATCTATCCGTGAGGTAGCTGGCCAACCATTTCGACAAGGTCCCCTGAATACCAGCTCCCCCAAACTTATCAATCAACACCCCATTATTGACCTTATCACACGCCTTGGAAAAGTCTGTGTATACAGCATGAACCTCTCCACTCCCATCCAAGACGCCCGACAGATAGTCAACAAAGGTTACTAAATTCAACTCAGTAGATCTCCCACTGACAAAGCCAAACTGCTCATCGATAATAATTGACGAACCCAATATAGATTTTAAAAAGTTTTGGGATAGAGCTAAGGTTACATATTGGTCTATAATTGCGAATATCTGCTCTATTTCCTGACTTGAAAATAGGTTTAAAGGTAGCTCACTTTCTAGAAATCCGGAAATATGCCCGAAGAAAGCGATTTTTTGAAAATAATGTGAAGTGGACGGGAAAGAATAAAACTGCAAGACTTCAACATTATAGGAGGAATTCCGTCAGGCCTAGGGCCTTTGTTTATATCCCAGTCATTTCCTCAAAAATGGCTGATATCGGAATTTCACAGTCAGTTACATAAATGTGATTAAATGAGTGGATATCCGAACGGATAACATTTTTCTCAGTATATACTGACTGAAAGTACTCAGCAAAAAGATCAGGACCAAGCTGACACTGATTATTATCAAAAAACATTGAAGATGGTAACTTGGTTCCACTTTTTCTCTTATTCTGAACAAACTTCCAAAACTGTTTAACATTTACCTGGTTAGTTAAATTATATTCAGTTCCCTCCACAAATTCCCGATAACATAATCGAGATTCCTACACTGAGATCTAAGACCACTATAGAATACCTACATAAATATAATCAGTTCTTGATCCTGAACTTTTAAATGTTTTGTGAGCCCGATTTTTTTGTATCGTCAGCTGCTTCAACTCTGGTGAAAACCAAATCGGAAACTTTTGTTTGTGTGACAACATCACCAAGTTGACTCCTCTCTCTCTCATCAAGGACTGGAACTGAGCAGTATTCTTCGGTTGGCCATTCACAATAAAGCATGTTAAAATCACTACACAGCCACATGGGTGCTTCATGATTTTCCATAACCATATTCACCGCTGCACAAAAGCACTGATATGTGTTGATTGGAGACCGGGGTGGCAAAAGGGCAGCATCCAGAATAAATGAGTGAGAGCCTGAACCCACTCTAACAAATAATAATTGTTCAACATCATTGAGTGACTGTATCAAGGAACTAATTAGATTATTGGACATAGCTATCAGAACTCCTTATCCTCTCAAGGCGCTGCTTTGTGTTACGGCTTCTGTCGTATCGATAAATGTTGTATTTGGGGTGAATTTATCAATTTTTCAATTTTCTGAGTGCCTTTTCTTATAGAATCCGACTCCAAATCTCAGAATAGTTTAGTGTATGGAGTTTGGGGGGTCCCGAATGATCATTTGGACACAAAATCTCAACATAAAAAAATTTGACATTTTATCATTTTAGAACTGAGGTAGCTAGGTACCTTATGATTTAGATTCTAGAAAACTTCAAAAAATCATAACTTATACATAAAGAATGTTGAAATTTCCAGCGATTTTTATCCTAGTAGAGGACTACAATCCGTGAGAATTTCAGCTCATTTGTACTTATAGTTAAGCAATTTGAGGTGATTTTATCAATTTTTCAATTTTCTGAGTGCCTTTTTTCATAGAATTCGGCTCCAAATCTCAGAATAATTTAGTGTATGAAGTTCGGGGGTTGAATAATCATTTGGACAAAAATCTCGCCAGTAAAAAGTCCAAATTTTTCTGACGACAATCTAGATTGTAAAATAATCGAAATTATGGAAATTGATTCAATTATAAATATAATTACGTTGTACTTCACGTATCATGCATCGATGCCTAATACCATTTTTTAGATTAATTGCATTCTAATGTAATTCATTACGCCGATTATAAAATAAATAGTAAATTAATTTCACCGTTATCCTAAATAAATCTATATGGTTCATGGTAAAAAAGTAAATTCATAAATTAAATTCTTCATTTATCTCATTTATTTTCTTAAGCTCATATTACCCATTTCCGCACAAGATTATTAGCTTTGTAGGTAGGATGCAAATTTAATTAACGATGTTAAATCTCAGTAAAACTAATAAACTATAAACTTATATCAATTACATATATGATTTTCTTCGATGGCTTTTATCACTCAATATAAATTATCATTAAGTAATCACTAATCACATAGTACCTACCTATAGTATACATTTTTAGGCAATTTTCAGTTTGCATTTTTTTCGTTTCGTTCTTACATCGAAATTAAAACTCAAACATGGATCAATCTCAATCTAAACCATCAAGTTCTGCGAAGTACCATCACATAACAGTATTTTATCTACTGGTTTTACCTCTTCAAGCAAAAGAGTATGGTTTTTTTTTCTATGAATCAACCGTAACTGAAACAATTCGAAATTAATACAAAATAGAAAAAAGTCGGTACCTAACTGGAAATTAAATGAGTTTTTTTGTTTATATGTGTAAAGTTCCATTAAAAATCTGATTGGAAGTTGAGGAACATTATTATTATAAACGGACAAAGAAAATTTTAAAATAAACCATCCTCGAAATGTTTTATTTAGTTATGCAAAAGTGTTTCAAGTTCAGTATGTTTCACGGTCAGGGTGAACGTTTTATTGTTTTAATCGGTCCAGTTTGTGAATGAAAGCGTTGCCCAATGTCAAAACACGAAATAAAAACAATGTACGTTTTCAATGAACAGATTTATGAATGGAAACCAGTAAATTCTGATAAAAATCATCTATATATGTTCCCACCAGAATCTCCGTTAGACAAATTAATATCTAAAACTAACGGCAAGCGAAGAAGACAATGTAAGAAATAATAGACAAGAAAAAATTTACATAAATTAAATATAATAACTATAATTTTGAATTTATTCAAATTATAGCCATATGTTCTTGTAACTAACTGTTGTATTTTGAGACGAAGCAATTTAAAATAATTAATTAATTAAATCAGTATAATTTGGTTGGTGAAATACTTATACATAGATATCCACAATGGTGCTATGGCAATTATCGTTTCCTAATAATCACTATCGTATTTATACCCCTCATTTCTGTAAGAAGTAAAGTCTAGAATTTATTTGGCTGGTATCGTAACAGCATGCTATTACCATAAGTAATTTTTCCTGATTTTATAGGGTCATAATTTTAAGAGATTATGGTTTTAAGTGAACATTGAATAACACTTTAAGATACTTTTGAATAATATTTCTAGCTCTTACCAATGGTCAAAAAAAACTCATGATTGTTTTCGAGAGGTTTATTTCATGAAAAAAAAAAAAGATTGGAAAGAAAGTTTCAGTTTTGGCGGCACAGGAGGTTCTTGATTGAGGATCTCAAAAGTTTGCTCATTGTTTCATCAATTCTCAATAGATCAACTTATATTTTAGTTTTTCTGAAAAAGAATTAGATTCTCTATAAAACTTCGGAAAGTAAAATTAAATTATCTTATGGGTTTTGAGAAATTGAGCTGCATTTTGAACTTATACCGTAATTTTGTCCAAAACTTCAATGTTAAATAGCTCAAGAACCACCACAAGTCCTGACAATATTTCCTGAGCAATACGTTGTTTTAAAGTTCTATTAATCTGATATAAAAAAACATTTTTGTAAATTATATTGTATGTTCTCCTGTATTTAATAATTGTTAACCAGTTTCATCTCGATGTGAACAGTAGTGATCGCGAAGAGTTTTTTTGCAGAAGATGCAAAACCAAACATAAGAAAAAAAATTGTCCAGCTTATAAGCAAAAATGTGAATATTGTAAGAAAACAGGACATTTTGTTAGCAACTGTTGGTTAAAAAACAAAAAAAGTCAACACATTAGATGAAGACGATTCAGAAGATGAAATAAATGCAGTGCTTTTTGTTCATTCGCTCAATACCAAAAAAGATAGCGACTGGTATGAAACCATAACAGTGAAAAATTAATCACTTTTGGTGAAGCTAGATACTGGAGCCCAATGTAATGTTCTACCAAAGCGGCTTTTTGATAAACTAAAATTGCAATTAAAACCTTCAAAAACCAAAACTTTGGTTAGCTATACAAATGACAAAATAGCTGTAATAGGGGAAGCACAAGTGAAATGTCATATTGATAAAACCTTAGTAGAGATAATATTTAAGATAGGTAGTCAATGAAAAGGTGCAGCCCATTCTAGGAAGAAAATCCTGTACATTCCTGCGAAACAGCAAAGTCCAATTTTAGCATTTTTCAAGGATTGGGTTGTTTAAAAAATTTGAATACAATATTGATTTCATAGAAAATCCAAAGTTTGAAATATGGGATGAAGTTAAAAAAGAATTGGAATATATGGTTAAGTTAGGTGTCATTAAGCCCGTCATAGAACCTACTCCTGCAGTCAGTCCGTTAGTAACTGTTAGGCAAAAAGGTAAATTAAGAATATGCATAGATCCTACAGATGTTATCAAAAACATTTTAAGAAGAGATTATCCACTGATAACCATGGAAGAAATTTCAGCACAAATACGTGGAGCCAAATATTTTACACATTTAGATTGCAAACGAGGGTTTTGACAAATAAAAGTTGCAGAGCAGTCTCAAAAAAATCTCACGTTTTCAACACCATGGGGGCGTTATAGTTGCACTCGTCTACCATTTGGAATCTGTTCAGCACCAGAGATATTTCAAGAAATAATGAGTTCCTTGTTAAAAAACATTCCAAACACTTACTGCTCAATGGACGATATTCTTATTTATTCCGAAGGAAGGTGTAGAAAAAAATTACTAAAAAAGTACCTAATGGAAACATTGGAAAATTCTGGATTGAAACTCAATAAGGAAAAATGCATTTTCAATGTTAAAAGAGCATATTTTATCTTTATCGGAAAATGGTATTGAAATTGATGATACCAAGGTGGAAGCTATCAAAAACTTAAAGACACCAACAAATATAACAGAACTGCAAAGGTTGCTAGGCATGATAACATATTTGAATAAATGCATACCAAATATGTCTGAGCTTACAGATCCTTTGTGAAAGCTTCTGAAAAGGGATGTTGAATTTATTTGGGACATAAAACATTACGAAGCTTTTAACAAAATAAAGGTACAGTTGACTAGTGCACCTCTGTTTTGAAATTTTATGATGTAAACAAGGATGTTACATTAGCACTACGTAACTTTTAGAGACGAACTTACAGTTTACAACGAACTCATATTCAAGGGCGAAAAAATAATCGTTCGAAGATCTCAGGTAGGTACCTAAAATTTTGAGAAATATTCATGAAGGCCATTTTGGTATCCAAAGTTGTCTTAAACGAGCAAGAGAACTACTTTACTGGAGAGCAATATCACAAGATATTCTTAGTTATGTTCAAAAATGCAGAGTTTGTGAAAAATATCAAAGAGCTAATCAAAAGGAAACAATTTTACTGAAGCCACTACCAGAATTAGCATGGCAAATAGTGGACGTGAAAAAACTCAGAAATCAGATATCCTTGGAAGTAATCGGCTATCTCAAAGAATGGTTTGCAGTTCATGGAATTCCTGAAAAACTAGAAACTGATAATGGACCGCAATATATGTACTTCTAGAGAATTTAAAGATTTTTCCAAAAAATGGTGTTTTAAGCATGCAACCAGTAGTCCATATCATCCAAGAAGCAATGATTTATCGGAAAGTGTTCAAATTATGAAAAAACTGTTAAAAAAATGTACAGGCGACAAATCAGATATACAGATTGCTTTACTCAACTACAGAAATACACCAAGAAACCGGTCACTAGGTTCACCTAATCAAAGACTTTTTAGCAGAATTATCAGGACATTACTTCCAGCAAACAGTGAAAAGTTAAAACCAAATATTGTAAAAGATGTCACAAATGAATTGAAAAGATTGAGAGGAAAAGAAAAAGAATATGCAGACAGACACGCCATTCAACTCCAGAACTATAAAATAGGACAGTCTGTTCCCAACAGACAAATGGGACGGTGCAACCATAACAAAAGTTGATGATCAAGAAAAAAGAAGAAATAGTAGTCAAGTTCATAAAACAAAAGCCGATTTCAACATAAAAGAATAACGAAATAGTTGTGAAGCCTACCAGTCCAGAAAATCAGGAGCATAATGAACCACTAGTCTAAGAAATACAATACAAAATACATCAAAGTCGTTATGCAAGATGCAAAATCTATTCAACAGAGAAAAATCCCAGAGCCAAGTGCGTTTTCAATCACATCTTTACCAAGTTAAAATGTCTTTATGAGAAGTACCTAACAGAAAACGTTATAAGTCGCCTATAAAACTAACATTTTTCACTCTTCTTTCGATTCATAATACCCATAATACTAATATCTGAAACTTTTTTCAAATTGTAGCAAAGAATATTATAGACTAACCGTCTCGGAGTCTATTATATTCTTTGATTGTAGCCAGTGATTCTTGTTTGTCTCATAGTAACTGTTTCTCAATGTTCGCTTCACGAATCTTATTAACACCCGATTAACACCGATCGCATCGCCATAAAATAAGAACCTACGCATTCAACGGTACCTAAAAATCCTCAGCGTTTATCAAAAAAAAAAGCTACGTCTGCTTAAAGAAGCTGCTAGAGAGGAGGTCGTTGGTACTTCTTCTTATGTGCACATAACGGTCGAAGTGTATATATATATTTATTCACAAACCTGCTTGACTTTTAATTATCGAACAGCACACATGATGGTTTGTTTGCTTTCATGTCCTTCCGCGAGAGGTTTTTAGGATAATTGACAAGAACACGAACAGGAAATTGGAAAAATCCCCTAGAAAAAAAAAGGAATTGCAAAAACTCTCCAAATCCTCTAATATTTATAAACATTAATTTCATAACAAACGAGAATCTATTATTTAATCAATGACCACGTATTCATTAATGGATTAATTGATTTTCATTGATTACAGCAAACATGAAGACAGGTGTAGCGTTTATTGGTACCATCCTGTTATGGGTTTCTCTAGTTAGTGCTTTCGGTGGCAGCGAGGACAGATTTATCAAAAAATATGCCATGATGAAGGTAAGAACGATTTTTTCCTAGAAATTTCACTAATTCCCTAAATAATTATAGATCTATGAAAGTTGTTTCGGAAGCGAAGTAGTGAGGCAAATTCGGAAAGAAATGAAGGCTGCTTGTACTAAATGTGCGTCTTATGAAGAGCCACCTTCAACACCAGCACCTGCAAGCTCCTCAGAAGAACCACAAGCAGATGCTCAAGCGCCTAGTGCCAACTCAGTGTATGCTGCTGCTGGAACTGCTCCTAATTTTGATGCTGACAAACTTCATCAAGCTATAATGGCTTATAGACCAGTAAGAATTTTTATTCAATGCTTTAATTGATTTTCATTTTAATTTTTAAACAGAATATGGCTCAGTCAGCGTTTAGACCTCAATCACTTTATCCTTCACAAGCTGCACCTGTGCCCAACAACTTTTACAGTCCAATGGCTTTTAGTAATCCAAATATGCAAGGAATTCAAGGGATGCAAGGAGGAATGCCTTTCTTCTATCCCGGTTACCAGCAAATTTCGTTTTCACCTTACGGAGGTTTTCCTATTGTTGGTCAACAATATTATGGAGGCAGCAATAGGATGTCGGTAAGAATAATGTTTCACAAATAAATTGATTTTATAAATTTATTTTCGTTTGAAGAGAGATATGGATATAAGAGGACAAATTGAAGCAATAACATCAAAAATGAGTGGCAAAGTAAGAAATGTAACCTGCGTAATGCAAGAGCTTGGCTACTTGGATGAAAATCTCGAACCAAACTATGCTAAGATTAATGAAAGAATTGGAAATTTGCCTGTCAACGATGAACTTAGACGAGACATGCAAGACGGTGTAACGTTCTGCCAACAATTTTCGGTAACAATCACTTAAATTATCATTGAACAATTAATGAATTTTTTTTGTTTGTTCCAGCAATGTGTTCCAGAAGTGAAAAAAGACAAATCGCCATTGTCTCGCGAACTAATCCGTCCGATGTTCTTTTTCAAATGCTACAAACACAAAAAATTGGAGGCTTGTATAATGAAAGACGTAAGAGAAAAATATGCTGGAGTGGCTGATGATGATTTCGAAAGTGGAGATGTCGAGTTGAGGAGGACTGGAAGGGAAGGAAAACTTATGAACAGTGACAAAGAAAAGGAAGTTGATGATTTGGCTGCTTCTATGTACGAATTTTTGTATGCCAGCGACAGTGGATTTGATATTGATGGTATTTTATAAAACTAGGCTTTTTTCAAGATCTTTATTACCTCAGGCTTTGCCATAAACTAGACTTTTGTGTAATGGTTGCTCAATACTTTATTCAAGGCACATTTTAAAAATGTATTCTCCTTCATCACACTTCGCACCTATTTATTTCATTTTGGTTTTAGAATAGTTTAAGGTATTGACTTTTGGATTTTTGCAATGGAATAGTCCAGATTTTATTATATAAAAACTAATATAGGGCGTGATTGTATTGCGAAAATTCGACCCAATGATGAAGAAATAAATATTATTTTTTATTGATTTTGTTTTCGTTTGATTGAAAATCCGTCCTTAGAATCATTGGAACCTTTAGTCTTCAGCTTCAGTATTGCATCTTTAAAATCTCATGTCTCAAATTGGCCGAATCACCCACCAAATATTTAGTCTGCACTTCAGCCGCAAAACACTTTGAAGTTTTCAAACCTATGCAAGGGCTTTACGTCAAAATCCTTCTGAGGTCCCTAAAGACTTCAGTATTGAGTCTTTAATCAGTAGAACCTTCTTCTTCAAATTCTAAGTAAAATGTCTTCAGAGTCCTCCAGAATCTCTTAAGTCTTTATTTTACATTACATCATGAATATTGAGACTTTGCTGTCTTTAACATCTCAAGATTGGGAGTTTTTGATAAGATATCTTCAAATGTCTATAGAATATTCAGATTTTTTGAGGTCTATACCCACATCAGCGAAAAACTTTATTCAGTCATGAGCTTTGACTGCTTTGAGCCTCTTCAGATTCTTCAGGATTTTGGGAGTTTTTAGAGTTTTCAAAGGCTTGTAATCAAGAATCAAGAAGTTTTCAGGTTTTGGAGAGACTAGGGTCTCTTGATCTTATCAAGGTTCCAAAGACCCCAAAGATATCGAGAGTTCTCAAAGATGTTATAATCTTGGATTTTAAAATATCAAGTGTCTATTTCGCAAAGTCTGAAGAAACTACATTTTCAAATATTGGAAAATTAGCTCAAAGTCTTTTTAGAAATCATCAAAGTCTTAGATTTTCAAGCTCTAGATTCTAGAACTCCTGGGGTCTCAATAAAATTCTGTTAAGCAATTTGGGGTGATTTATCAATTTTTCAATTCTTCTGAGTGCCTTTTTTCATAGATTGCGACTCCAAATCTCAGAATAATTAAGTGTATGGAGTTTGGGGGATCCCAAAAGACCAGTAGGACACAGAATCTTAAAAAAAAAAAAATTGGAATTTCATCGTTTTAGTACTGAGTACCTTATGATTTAGATTTTGGAAAACTTTGGAAGGTCATTTTTTTTTTCTATTATACATAGATAGAAAGCTGAAATTTTCAGCGATTCCTATCCCATAAAGGACTACAATTCCTGAAAATTTCAGCTCATTTGGACCTATAACTCTAGAAATAAAATCGTGTTAAGCAATTTGGGGTGATTGATCAATTTTTCAATTTTTCTGAGTGCCATTTTTCATAGATTCCGGCTCCAAATCTCAGAATAATTTAGTGTATTGAGTTTTGGAGATCCCAAAGGACCATTAAGACACAAAATCTCAACAACAACAAAAAAATTGAGTTCTCATCGTTTTAGTACTGAGGTAAGTAGTTCCTTATGATTTAGATTTTGTAAAACTTTGAAAGGTCGTCACTTATTTTCTATTATAGATAGAAAGCTGAGATTTTCAGGGATTCTTATTCCAGTAGAGGACTACAATCCTTGAAAATTGCAGCTCATTTGGACCTATAGTTCTAGAAATAAAATAGTGTTAAATAATTTGGGGTGATTTATCAATTTTTCTGAGTGCCATTTTTCATAGAATCCGACTCTGATCCTCAGAATAATTTAGTGTATAGAGTTTGGGGGATCACAAAGGACCATTAAGACAAAAAATCTCAACAAAAAAAAATTGAGATTTCATTTTTAGTACTGAGGTAGCTAAGCATCTTATGATTTAGATTTTGGAAAACATTAAAAGGTTATCACTTTTTTTCTATTATATATAGGTAGATAGAAAGCTGAAATTTCCAGCGATTCTTTTTCCAGTAAAGGACTACAATTTCTGAAAATTTCAGCTTATTTGGACTTATACTTCCAGAAATAAAATCCTGTTAAGCAATTTGGACTGGTTTATCAATTTTTAAATTTTTCTGAGTGCCTTTTTTCATAGATGCCACGATGCCAGCTCCAAATCTCAGAATAATTTAGCGTATGGAGTTCGGGAGGTCCCAAAGGATCATTAGGACACAAAATCTCAACAAAAAAAATAATGGAATTTCATCGTTCTAGTATCTACTGAGGAAGCTACCTTATGATTTAGATTTTGGAAAACTTTGAAAGGTCATAACTTATTTTCTATTATAGATAGAAAGCTGAAATTTTCAGCGATTCTTATCCCAGTAAAGGATTACAATCCCTGAAAATTTCAGCTAATTTGAACTTAGTTTCAGAAATAAAATCGCGTTAAGCAATTTGGGGTGATTTATCAATTTTGTAATTTTTCTGAGTGCCTTTTTCATAGAATCTGGCTCCAAATCCTAGAATAATTTAGTGTCTAGAAACTTATTTATAGGTTAAGTCTAATGTCTTAAATCAAATCATTATATTTGAATAAGTTTATAAAGTCTCTAATAATTTTGGAATCTTCACAGTTTTCTTATTTAGTTCAAAACTTTAACTGATAGAACAAGAAAGTGCCGATGGATGGCAGCAGTTTATCGTTAAACTATGACCAAAGAATACAATCAGAAAATGAAGCAATTCAGAGAATTTTTTCAAGTTTTCTATTCCAGTAGTACCTAGCCTCTCCAATTTTATTTCGAGGTTTTTTCTCATGTAGATGGAAAGAATGCCTTTGCCATCGTGTCAAGAATAAAATTACCTACACTACATTTTTAAAGACAGAATAATCAAGCAATCCAAACCACGTGATATCCAAGATAGCGTGGCGACCACACATGGGCCAAAAAATACAAAAAAATATCTATTTAGTTTCTGCCAGACTTAAGAGTTTACGTACCTCAAATGCATTGAAATGAATGATGCTAGAATTAGTCCAGGAGATTAATATGAATTATTTTTGTCCCAGATACTTTTGGTGACGATGGTCAACAAATATTTTATTAAATACCTAATGAAAATCAAAGTTGCAAGCAAAACTCAAAGCAAAATATTTAAAATACGCATAAAAACACATAGGTATTCAAAACAAATTTGCTTGGTCACCATGCCATATCGAATTTTTGTTTTGACAAATGGATTTGAATGCGTAAATACATCAACTAATAATGTTATAATTTCCCCAAGTTGAGATAATTGTGCACAATCTTGCAACACAGTCTGATGACTGGAAAACTCGGAATTCCACTGCGAATTCGATTGCGAATCTATAGACAAATCTAGAAGCAACGACGCGCTATAAAACAACATCGGTCACGGAAGGAAAAAGTTAGGGATAAATTAGACGCCAGTGAGTTAAGAATCACTCAATAATCGAATAATTATTATTGAAATGCGATTCGATAGTAAGACACAGTTGGTTTAGCTCAGTGGTTCCCAACCTTTTTTTAGTCACGACTAGGGCTCGGAATTTTTAAAATTCGAGTATTCGAATAGTCGTTTGGTATTTTATTCGAATAGTTGAATAATTCGAATAGTCGAATATTCGAATACCTATTCGAATAGTCGAATAGTCGAATAATCGAATAGTCGAATAGTCGAATATTCGACTATTCGAATAGTCGAATATTCGAATAGTCGAATAGTCGAATATTCGAATAGTCGAAAAGTCGAATATTCGAATAGTCGAATGGTCGAATATTCGAATATGTAGTCAAAAAGTCGAATATTGGAATAGTCTAATATTCCAATAGTCAAATATTGATAGAGGACATAATGGGAATGGGATAAGAGAAGAAAATGGGACTTTAAAAATGACGTTTTTCGACTAACAATCATTCTTGATAAAAGTTTCTACTTCCCGCAAAAGAACGTTCTACGACGAAGCGAATTTTTGATTTTTTATGCAGAGTATCGCAGAGTCAGAAAAACTTAAATAATTTAGATGTTTTCTAAATGGCAAATTTACAAAGGGGTAAAATTTACATTACGAACAAAAATGCATTGTATTTATTGAAAGCTGATTTTCAACGAAAACACTTCGTATATTGTATCATTCAAATTCCAATATTGAAACGAAACAATTGAAATTTTAAATTGAATATATATTCAAATCAAAAAGTGAGTAATTGCATTGTTAAAAAGTCCAATATTCGAATATTCGAATAGCCGAATAGTCGAATAATCGAATATTCGAATAATCGAATATTCGAATATTCGAATAGTCGAATATTCGAATAGTCGAATAGTCGAATATTCGAATAGTCGAATAGTCGAATATTCGAATAGTCGAACATTCGAATAGTCGAATAGTCGAATTTGTTAAGTAACAAAAAAGTCGAATTTAGAATAGTCGAATAGTCGAATATTCGAATTATTCGAATACAATTCCGAGCCCTAGTCACGACCCCTTTACAGATTTGCTCATAAGGTCGCGACCCCCCTACCCATTAACAAGATAATAGATGTAAAACAAAATTTCATTTATTCGAGAAATCTTTACCAAAAATATTAATATTTCGTAACTAAATACAAAAAGTCAATTTCTATTTTTTTAATGTGATGACTGAGCTTGCATCTCCGTTTTGAAATTCTTGGTTGAGTTTTTGTTAAAGCCAATCTTATGTCGTCTTGAACGCTCAGTCCAGTCTACCTATTTTTGGCGTTTGTTTTAATTTGCAAAAGAGTTGAAAAACCATTTTCACGAAGGTATAGGTAGAGGCAAATGGTACTATTATCCGAAAGGAAAGCACAAGCAGGGCGACATAAGGAAATGAGCTATGCATGGCACATCAAAATTAATTCAAATTTTTTTCCTGAAATAGGGCAGGTGCTGTGGAATCATTCCTCAGCTCTAAAAATTTATTCTGCACTTTATCAGGAACGTCGGCAACATCTAACGAGGCTTGAAACGGGTTCCTTACTTACTGCAGCGTTTTGCTCAGATAACTCGGGAATAACGCCCATTTCATTCTCAAGGGATTGAAGGTGATAATCAATTTTCTCTTTAAGATTCTCCACAATTTCTGTTTCTGATGCTTCAGCCATTATACATAGCTACCTATGTTCAAAAACATGCGACTCACAACACAACACTCACAAACTGTGCTGTGCGCTTCGTCCGTAAGACCAATGCAATCCTACGCGGCTTTTGAGGCGGAGGCTAAGGTCGTGTTTATGTTGGAGCTGTGATACACAATAAAAGCAACGATACTAATGTATAGTATCATGAATATCGTTGCTGTTATCGTTTATCACAGCTCCAACATAAACACGGCCTCAGGCGTGTTGCCAAATGTAGAAAAATATATGTATATTGGCATTACGACCCCTCCAAAGACCCTATGCGACCCCCTTAGGGGTCGCGACCCACCGGTTGGGAACCGCTGGAGCTTATCTACGAACCCACTTACGTGAAAATATCTTCGCACATTTTATTTAATTCATAATGATACCCTGGCTCCTTCAGAGTTTCAAAATCTAGTTCCAGAACATAAAGATTTCATTATCATTTTAATTGATAATACTTTATTTCGCAAACTATTCACACCCTAGCAAATTACCGATATTTGAAAGTAAATTATTACTGGGTGGAGTACCATAACCCAATGTCGGCCAATAACAATTATTGACCGCAGTAGCTTCTTAATAATCTCAATGACCGCGTATTAGGCATGCAGAATTAGAATCAATGCATTTTTTCTTAAGGTATCTCTTCCTTATTAATCAGCATAAAATTTGCAATTAAAACTTAAGCAAAACATGCGGAAGAATTCAAGAAAGATGCCGTTGATATGCAAAAGAAGACCAGCGGGTGAAAGTTAATCGATATGAATTTTCCAACAAAAAAAAAAATCAATCTTGATGTTCGTGAACCGATTATACGAAGATCTTGAATTTAAAAATCGGTTTTATGGGATGATATAACCATAGTGCAAAACCATTAAATAGAAATTGGCTTATGGAAACATCATCGTAGGAACTTTACATGTTAGATGATAGTTACAAAGTCTATAGTTACAATTTTTATTCATATGATTTTAATTTAAGTTAGCTTTCTCTTCCCTGGATGACAAATTTATTGAAGAATAATTATTGATGGGTTTGAAGGTTTTCAAAAATGTGAATTGATTATTGGCAAGAACTACTTATTCACAGAGCATTTCCAATTATTAGAAAAGTGCTTATTTGGAAGGTGATGTGACTTGGGATGTTTTCCTTAAAAAACAGATTTTCCCACTTGTTAATGAGATATCTTATTCAATAATTGGATCAGAACCATGAATGCTGAAATGTGCATAATTATCGAACCCGAAAATTTAATTTTTTTCCTTATTTGCTCGTCGTTTGTTGTTGTTAATTCTAAAACGTTGTAATCAATTTATCAATTTCGATTAATTTATTTGTTGTATACACTTGTCTCAATGATTTGCTTTTATCGAATTATCGGGTTTCAATAATTATTGCAAACACTCTGATGGACAAATCGTTGCATAAATTTGCATTTTTATGATGTTTTTAATGTGATGGCTCTGGTTCAAATGAAAGTGGATTTTGTTCAATGCTAAAATCTAATTGATCAATGAATGACTTCAATAAAGAAAATTATATAGAATTATAGAAATAGGTACGTTCTTGAAGTTTAAGTTAATATTTGATTGGAATTTAAAATAGAACTGGAAAAGTTTTTCCTGGACTTCACTGAACATGATACTATAATAAAGTTGACTTTTTGTCAAGTCTGAGTCTGAAACTAACTCAGTACAAACTGGCTCTAAGAAAAACGTAATTTCCGGTTTCAGTAGGTAAAGTTTGTGTGGCATTGTTTGTGTGGCATAAGCTTGTCAGTGTGGCATAAGTTTGTGTGGCATTAATATCGAAAACACAAAACGATAAATCCACCACCTTCACTTTTAGACAAACTTGTGCAATATCGAATTATTCCCATATTTTGAAGGAATATTTCGCCATAATTGGATTTTGCAAATCGCATTTGAATAAAATCAATATGGATTATGCACATCTTAAAAGGATTTTATTATTCAGGACTTTGCAAAAGATTGAAAATTTCTCTGAACTATAATAATTATAATTTGATGATATTTTAATAACAAAATGCAGATATTTTTAAAACAAATTACCCATTTATGGTTCAATGATTAAAAAAAAAAGACACCATACAAAGGTAAATTAAACGAAAACAAAATGATATAAATTGTTTTGCTAATTACTAGAATCTAGAAATTATGCTAATCTTCGGGCAGGTCGCAGCTCTCACCTAATATGAATATTTATATAATTTTTTATGCTATAATTATAATATGTTTTCGACATTTTTATTTAAAATGTGAACTTTAACGTTGGCATCGTGCCCGATTTTTTGACTTGGGGACCATTATGCAGCTCTCATTTACATTTTTCCAATATTAAAATTTACTATGATTTTAAATTTTTAGAAAATATGAATGTCATCGATCTAGTAGGGGTACCATATGGCTATTATAAAGATCATTGATGCCGATTGTTATTTGTCAAACACATTTTGGACATCTGATCATTAACAAGATGTACAATTTCAGGTTTTTGGTAAGACATTTTTTCTTTTAATTAGCGCAATAAACAATTACTTATCTAAATTTTTTATTTTTCCTAGGTTTTGTTTGGTCTGCTGGCTCTAAGCCATGCCAAGCCAGAAGGTTACTCCTACCCAAGACCACAAATATTACCTCAACCTGCAATCTTGCCACAACAAAATCAACCCCTTCAACGACTCACCTTGCACCAAGGCCAGCAAAGCTCATCTTTCCAACAAAGCTTACCAATCGTCCAAGAATCTCAACCACTTCAACTTAGCTTGAACCAAGGCCATCATCAACACAGCGAACAAGGATATTCTTACCAGCAACCACAACCCCAACTGCACGTACAACCACAACCTCAGTTTAACGTACAACAACCCCAGCCACAATTTCATGTGCAGGTTCAACAACCTCAACCACACTTCACCGTGCAACAACAGCAACCACAATTTAATGTGCAACAACAACAGCCACAGTTTAACGAGCAAGTTCAACAACCTCAGCCACAGTTTACCGTGCAACAACAACAGCCACAGTTTACCGAGCAAGTTCAACAACCTCAGCCACAGTTTACCGTGCAACAACAACAACCACAATTCAATGTGCAGCTTCAACAACCACAACCTCAATTGAATGTGCAAATTCCCGTGCCACAAGCAAACCTCAACAATTTCCAGGCGTCGCTACAAGAAAGCCTGCCACAAATCCCAATCCAGCCCCAAGTACAATTCACTCAAGTCGAACAAAACAGTGGTTCGTTCCACCAAAATTCCTTGCCTGAAAATAATTTACTTGTAAACTCTCAACAAGATTTATCAGGAGGTTTTGGCCAAAACAATTTCGCCGAGCAACAGGCAAGTTTGGTTACCAAGCACATTTCAATTCACGTGGCACCAGAAGATCCAGAAGAAGTTCCCCAAGTCCATGCCCAACCGTTGCCAGCGAGGAAAAACTACAAAATCATCTTCATCAAAGCGCCAACTGTAGGCTTGAGCCGGTCTCAAATCGTTGCCCAACAACAGCAAGTTCACGAAAAAACTTTGGTTTACGTTTTGGTTAACAAGCCTCACGAATCTGAGTTGGTACTACCAACACCTGAACCAGCTCCAGTGTCCAAACCTGAAGTGTACTTTATCAAGTACAAATCTAGGAACGGTAACGGGCCTTCATTGGTCGAAGGTGGAGATTCTTCTGCATCGGGACCAACCGGTGCTGGTTTGCCAATTGTTGAAGATATTGCCAGAGGACAAGGACTGGTGAATAGCGGCGAGAGTTCCAGCTCGTTGTTTTCTGGTGGGTTATCTAGAGGACCAAGCGCTCAATATGGAGTACCCGGTTATCAAAAAAGAAGTACCCAAAAGTGAACTTGATAGGTGTTTTATTGTGTAAATATTCTTGCTATATATATTATAAGATTTTGTGATAATTGTACTTATCAGAAATAAATATTTTTTTTTGTTAATTTGTTTTTTTATCTATCAAGATTTAAGTGGGTTATGTTTAAATCAAATTGACTTAATTTAATCCTCGTAATCTAGCTTTCAATTTTCGAGCGTATTAATAGGCGATTATGTAAAATGATCATTAACAGTCGAAGTAAATTGCTACTCGAAGTCCCTGAAGCGTGTATATTCTCACACGCATTTAATATGAGCTTCTTCAATGTATATAGACGTAAAGAATAAATAATAACAAATTAATACATAAAGTTTTGAACAAAAAAAAAAAAATTGCAAACATTTTCTCGAAAGGTCAAACAATTTATTGCAAATGAAGATGTTCATAGTATCCTCAACAACCATCAACCATTTTCTATTTAATGTCAAAAATTTAGCAACTAATTAAGTTTAATAATTATTACATTTTACAACCTAAAAATAATATTTTATAGTCTCTGTGTTTTAAAATTGCTTCTGCAAAGAAATATGCTCTCTTTTACAAGTTTTGTATGATGTGCCTCAGGCTTTCTTTATTTATGGGGGACTGTGCAATAATCTGCGTAGAAAATGAATAAATAAATTAAAAAAAGGTGTTCTATTCTTTATTTTCTTCCATAACTAACAATAATAAATGGACAAAAGGGCACTAAACTAGACTAGAAGTTGTCCTGGAAGTTGAAACTCCACCTGAAACAACGCTAAAGGCTTATTTTTGAGAAAATTTTAACTTCGAAGGCTCATAACGGCATGAAAAGCATAATTCTGAAAATTCTAGATGAAGCCATTCTGTGGGCAATTTAATCCTTTATCGAATGAAATATAATTCATTGAAATCGATCCAGGCGTTCCAGAGTTATGGCGCATTTAATAAGACCATATCGGGCTGAAAAAGCCTCATCCCTATAAATTTTCTTTTTTATTTTTTTCCGGGCTTGAGAGACGTCCTATGAGAAAATGCCAAATAGCTTTTCTGCTTGTTTTGACCTCCTCTATATAGTGGATTTTTTTTTCTTCAAAATTCGGAAAATTTTTATTTTGCATTTTATTGGGTATAGAAAAGGGCATGGAAACTCCTGGAAAAACGGAAAATTAAGGGGGCAAAAATTGGGTTGCGACATTTCTCTGGACCTCCTTCATGACTCAGTGAAAAAAAAAAATCCGGGAAACTTTGACTTTGATTTTTTGGCCGAAAAAAAAAGCAAGGCCCAATGATTTTAAAACTTCAAAGTGAAATATTTCGGAAATGGTGAGATGGAGAGGTAAGACTCGTTAAGCTTTTTTGTAGATCTCAACGAGTTCTACAATCTGCCCGTGAAGAGTTTTTCTCTACGACTTATCGTTACGAAGTTATAGCCGGTTGAAGTTTTGATTTTGGTCATTTTTAGAGCTTCCTGTGTTAAAGGTATAGTAGGAGGGCCAGAAACCAAAGTCACTGCTACACCATGAGTCAGTACGAGGACGGTACATATGGTACCATCGTAAAGATATTGGCATTATCGAAAATCCACAAGTTAAACTTCAACGTCTACTCATCAACGCAACGAACAACTACCTACTAATAACAAGTTCACGCCAGATCAATCACCAACTGTCATAAGCAAAACAGCAAAACCAAAGGAGCTCAACCTTCAGGAAACTTGGAGAATGGACACTTTGGATTCCTGCAACCAACCGAAACGCCCAAGGAAACAGAAATAAGGAAACAACCACCAGTCGTTCCCAAACATCGAGAAACGAAAAAAAAAAAAAAAAACGAGAAAGGCATTCAGAATTCCATTGAAGAACCAAGTCAACAACCGAGCGAAACCAGGAAACCAGAAAGGATTAATTGGGCAGTCGATGAGTAGAGAGAAATAATGTGGTGCCATCTCCACAGAGTAAAAAGAACTGGAACAGTCAATCTCAAGGAAACATTCAGACTCTGGAAAACTCGTAACCAATACTCAAAACACAACCCCACTGCAAACACCATGGCCACACAGAGAAGATTCATCCAGCAACAGAACAAAATCAGCGCACCAGACTCAGAAAACATCCTGAAAGAAGTAAAGCCGAGATCCAGAGCCAAACAATAGCAACTAACATTCAAGAAATAGAACAGAAGACAAAGCATATAAAGATGAAGAACAGAGGAAAGCACCAGTCATAGAGATACAAAGCCAGGGAATAGAAACCGGAAACAGACCCAACAGCAGAGAACCAGGCAACCAGAATCCAGAATCACAGAGCAATAACAGAAGATCATAACGCAGCATGCAGTGGGCCTATAGGGAGAAAATACTGACCACCCTAAAAAAAGTAAGGATAGACGAAAACACACAAAGAAATTCCATAAACCAATTAAAGAGATAGCCCCCAACACCCAGATGAATACAGAAATGTAACGGCAATCAACAACCTTGCGTAGCCACAGCAGCAATAATACAGAACATCCTGATGCCAGGAACAAAAAGGAATCGACCTAAAGCAAGAGAAGAAGAACTACCATGGAAGCGAAGAATCCAGTGCCGAATAGCAACGTTGAGAAAAGATTTATCACAACTGAAAGAGACCCAAAGCCCTGCGTTCAGCAAAACAATGAAAGAGAAAAAAAGAAAACTATTCGCAAAGTACCACATCACCAAGGAGACCCAACTCAAGGCAACGCAAGGAAAACTGAAACAACAAATAGCAGCTAGAGCCTACAAAATAAAACGATACACCGAGAGAAGCAGCCAGTACTATCAGAATAAACAGTTCACGGAAAACGCACACAGACTCTACAATGAGATACTAGGGAAGAAAAACGCAATCAGAGGGACGCCCAACGAGACAGAGATACAACAGTACTGGAGAAGCATATGGGAAAGAGACATCAGACACAATAGTACTGCCACCTGAATTCAGAAAGAATACGAAAAAACCTCTAAAATAAAACGCATGAAATGGCCATGGAAACAGCACAAGTACAGGATACACTCGCAGAAACGAGAAGCAAAAGATAAACCACCTCCTATACGTTGATGATCTGAAGCTGATAGCTAAAAGCGAACACGAAATAACGCAACAACTAGAAAAAGTACACGAATTCAGCAGAGACATACAGATGTAATTAGGACTAGATAAATGCGCAAAGGACATATTTACTAAAGGAAAGTTACAAACGAAGAAAAATATAGTACTAGACGAGAACACCAGCATCAAGGCATTAGAGCAACACAAACTGTACAAGTACCTGGGAATTGACGAGAACGACAGAATACAGCACAAGAAGATGAAAGTGAAACTGGAAAAGAAATACTACAGAAGTTAATGTCAAAAACAAGAGCCATTACAATCCTAGCAGTCCCTGTAATACAATACAGTTTCGGCATCATCAAGTGGATGCTAGCAGAACTCAGAAAAATGGACAGACAAATCCGGAAGCTACTCAACATCCACGGCGGATTCCACCACAAAGCCAACGCAGACCGGGCATACTTGCCACACCATCGCGATAAGAAAACTGAACGCCTACCTTGACCTGAAAAAGAAAGACAAGTACATCTACATGGTAAACCGATGAAGAGGGCGAAACAAGGAAAAAGACAACAGCGGAGATGAAAAAGCGGAAAGCGTCAGCCCGAACCAACCTGAAACAAAAAGAGTCAAACAGATTAAGGAAGGATTGAAACAACAGAAGAGAAGAGAACAGACAACAAGGTGGAGGGAAAAGGCCCTACATGGACAAATCGCAAAGGAGTCGGAAGGCGGAAGGAAAAGGAAACCATCAACACAGCTGCATCATGGAAGTGGCTCACCCATGCAAATCTGAAATTAGAGTCCGAAGCACTGGTAACTGCATACTGCATGTCAGGAGCAACCTATAGCCACCAACTATATGAAGGCAAACATAGACCCAAAATGTAGACTATGCCACGCCCATTCCGAAACCATCCACCATATAGTGTCAGGATGCCCTATCCTAGCAAAGAAAGCTTACCTGAACTGCCACAACACAGTCGCCGCCCACCTGCACTGAAACATCTGCAAAGAGTATGGAGTAAAAGTACATGAGAGATGGTACAAACACAGCACGGACATCGACATTCCTGAGATCACAATAATATGGAACACACAAGTGGAAACAGACAGAACCATGCTAGCAAACAAGCAGGTTATCATGACACATGCGTGCTAATAGACGTAGCAATTCTTTCGGACCACAACATCACCCAGAAAGAAGCAGAGAAACACTTGAAATATAAAGATCTACAAATTGAAATACAACGCCTGTGGAACATGAAAACATTAGTAGTCCCTGTAGTAATCGGTGCCACAGGATTGATATCGCACACCTATGAAGCGATAAAACAACTCCCCATAACCCAAAACCTGATGACGCTTCAGAAAGCGGTTGTGCTGAGCACCGCTCATATGGTACGGAAAGTACTATAGGAAACCAGCAGCAAGCACAAGACCAGCTCCGAAGAAAGAATAACCTTAGGCACACGGTGTGTACCCGGTTATTCCCTCAAAAAGACGAACCATAGCCCCAAAGAAAAAGCTATGAGATACCGAAAAATACTAATAATAATAAGACGTTTCTTAACTCAAAAAGCAGTGGCGTATTTACGGGGGGGCTCAGGGGGCCCGGACCCCCCCAGAAATGTATTTTTAATTTTTAGTAACTGAATAAGCACATTAACAAACCACACACCACTCGGTCACCGTTCGAAAACCTAGAGGATTTGCACACCAAAGTTTGTCGGACCCTCATTGAAATAATTTAATAATTTTCACACCAATAACCAGGTTCTCGAACGCAACCCTAATGTGTCAGGGTGATTTCGAACGCACACCAAGATAAAACAGAGACAGAAATGTCTGATGGAAGAAAAAAATAGGAGTTAGACAGAGACAGAGGGGGATCAATCGGATCAATATATTCGATCCGTCACATTGAT